TCATTTTTACTTCATGATACACCTGGTAAATATTTCTTACAGGTATTTTTTCCCCTATTTTTAGTCATTCAATCTTCTGTTAAAATGTCAACTTTATAAGTAGTCTTCTCTGTAGTACCCTACCCCACAATGGGTCTCTGTCTTATTAGCCTATTTTGTTTTCAGCCTATAACTTGTCTAATATTTTCCTGCTTGTAATGTCTCTCCCACCACAAAGACAGCTCTGGAGTTTGTAGGTCTTTTTCACAAACTCTGGAGTATGTAGGTGCTAGAACAGTTCCTGGATCACAGTAGAGACTCAACAAAGACATTGAATGAATGAAAAGTTATGTTCACATTTCTTTGGCATCAATTATGTACTCTTACTATACTTAGCTAGAGCTTTTTTTTTTTTAGAGGTTTTGGTATAGGGCACATGCCCTCGCCAGAAAGACAGAGAAAGACAGAGAGACAGAAAGCGAGAAATCACCCCCCGCCCCAGGGGAGATGGCCACACTGCAATCCCTTCTCCTCCATTCTCCTCTCAGGATCTTGGGCATGCATGCACACACGCCTGGCATGAATTTAAGACACTGGGTCCAGGACTCGAGCTGCGGTCGGCTACATGGGAGTTCAGCGATATAGCCATTACGCTAACTGCTGGTTCCCTTAGCTAGAGTTTTATAACTCCATTTACGTATAATTATTTTCTCTCACTTTCTTTTAAAAAAAATTATTTCTTCCATGAGAAAGGGAGATAGAGAGAGAGTTTGAGAGACCCCAACAGGGTCTTCATGCTGTGATCCTCACTCATTGTTAGCCAATCAGGATCACAGGCATGCTCACATGCACCCAACACCCACAGCCTGAGAACTTCACATGTGGCCTCAGCATGACAGAGCACTGACTCACCACTGCATCAATGGTCTATATTTAATCATTTCTGTTTCTTGACCATTGTTACTTGTTACATTGTTCTTGTTACTTCCTATCACTATTTCAGAATTTTATTTGTTTAAATGAATATATTTTTCAAAATATATATTCAATAGAGGCCAATACTACTTAAAGCCTGGTTTATGGATCAGTGCTGATGCAATAAAATGAATACAGGCATTGAGAGAAAGCATATAGAAATATTTATGTAAAATTACACAACTGTTGAACCTAGTAATAAAAAATCAGGGCTTATATTTTATATGTTTTCATTTTATTTTATTAGGTATTCCATTTTTATTCTAGTTCACAAATAGCCTATAGAATACAGTAGTTGAGAAATTTTTAAAAAGTGATTTTTAACACAACTTTTATACAACTGATTGTAAAGCACTAATCTAAACTATCTCTCTTTAGAAATAATATGATAGTGGGGACCAGCAGTTGGCATAATGACTATGTCGCTGAACTCCCATGTAGTTGACTACAGTTCGAACCCCTTCTGTTAAAATGTCAACTTTATAAGTAGTCTTCTCTGTAGTACCCTACCCCACAATGGGTCTCTGTCTTATTAGCCTATTTTGTTTTCAGCCTATAACTTGTCTAATATTTTCCTGCTTGTAATGTCTCTCCCACCACAAAGACAGCTCTGGAGTTTGTAGGTCTTTTTCACAAACTCTGGAGTATGTAGGTGCTAGAACAGTTCCTGGATCACAGTAGAGACTCAACAAAGACATTGAATGAATGAAAAGTTATGTTCACATTTCTTTGGCATCAATTATGTACTCTTACTATACTTAGCTAGAGCTTTTTTTTTTTTAGAGGTTTTGGTATAGGGCACATGCCCTCGCCAGAAAGACAGAGAAAGACAGAGAGACAGAAAGCGAGAAATCACCCCCCGCCCCAGGGGAGATGGCCACACTGCAATCCCTTCTCCTCCATTCTCCTCTCAGGATCTTGGGCATGCATGCACACACGCCTGGCATGAATTTAAGTCACTGGGTCCAGGACTCGAGCTGCGGTCGGCTACATGGGAGTTCAGCGATATAGCCATTACGCTAACTGCTGGTTCCCTTAGCTAGAGTTTTATAACTCCATTTACGTATAATTATTTTCTCTCACTTTCTTTTAAAAAAAATTATTTCTTCCATGAGAAAGGGAGATAGAGAGAGAGTTTGAGAGACCCCAACAGGGTCTTCATGCTGTGATCCTCACTCATTGTTAGCCAATCAGGATCACAGGCATGCTCACATGCACCCAACACCCACAGCCTGAGAACTTCACATGTGGCCTCAGCATGACAGAGCACTGACTCACCACTGCATCAATGGTCTATATTTAATCATTTCTGTTTCTTGACCATTGTTACTTGTTACATTGTTCTTGTTACTTCCTATCACTATTTCAGAATTTTATTTGTTTAAATGAATATATTTTTCAAAATATATATTCAATAGAGGCCAATACTACTTAAAGCCTGGTTTATGGATCAGTGCTGATGCAATAAAATGAATACAGGCATTGAGAGAAAGCATATAGAAATATTTATGTAAAATTACACAACTGTTGAACCTAGTAATAAAAAATCAGGGCTTATATTTTATATGTTTTCATTTTATTTTATTAGGTATTCCATTTTTATTCTAGTTCACAAATAGCCTATAGAAAACAGTAATTGAGAAATTTTTAAAAAAGTGATTTTTAACACAACTTTTATACAACTGATTGTAAAGCACTAATCTAAACTATCTCTCTTTAGAAATAATATGATAGTGGGGACCAGCAGTTGGCATAATGACTATGTCGCTGAACTCCCATGTAGTTGACTACAGTTCGAACCCTGGACCCAGTTGCTTAAAAGCTCACACTGGGTGTGTGTGCGTGCATGCCCAGGAGGAGAATGGAGGAGAAGGGATTGCGGTGTGACCATCCCCCCTGGGGGGTGATTTCTCACTTTCTATCTGTTTGTTTCTCTCTGTCTTTCTGGTGAGCATATGTGCCCTATAGCAAAAACCTCTCAAAATATTTAAAAGAAAGAAATAAATATGATAGTAATATTAATTGTTTAATATGATTGCATGTAGCAATGCATCAGGAGAAGATCCCAATTTATCTTGCAACAAATAGTGATTTGTTTGTACAAAAAAAAAAAGGAGAAGGGATAGTTTTAAATATATTGTATTTCATTCTAGTCTTTAGATTTAAAAACATGGGAGGCGACTGTATCTTTGGAAATAGTCTTTTATCCTCTGAATAGTTATAATTTTACAATAAAGCCTATTCGAAAGCATAGAGTAATTCAGATCAAGGCTGTTAATAACCCCACTATCTACACAGCACAATTTTGCAGAGTTGGGCAGAGAACAGGTTGATGAATAACAGATACAAGATTGTAAGGAAATGTCAGGAAGTTAAGCCTCCTAGCCCAGGCCTGTTCAAATTTAGTCTCTAGACTGTTCATCAACACATTCTCAGTTCTCATCTTACTTAAACCTTAAGTAAACTAATTGAAATCACTAGGAAAGTCTAATAGAGCAATTCTTTCTGCAATGATAGAGAGCTGTCCTTCCTCTTTTCTAAGAGATGCAAATCTTGACCACTCACAGGGGCTCTGTCTTCCTGGCCATCTCAGTGTGAGGGCCTTCATCTACGCCTGCAATAGTGATTAAGAGGAGGCAATAGTGACTGTAGATATGAACCTATCTCCTGTCAGCAATTATCCCGACATATTCCACATGACCAACATGCACTTTACAAAGGCCACCAAAGAGCCATAGCTATAATCATTCTTGGTCACTACCAATTTGGGCTGGATTTGATTCAGTGACTTAGAGGTGAAAGGCTGCATATTCAATTACCAAGCCCCCAGCTTCTTCAATTAATCAAAGCCTGACATAATGGGTCTATTATAACTCTCAAAGAAAAGACCAGATCAAATCAATATAACTACTTTATAACCATTAGAAGAAATATTAATAAATATTTTTAGTTAAATATAAATGCTAATACTCTATGACATTTAAGTGAATTTCATTAGAGTGGATTTTATCTAGAATTTTATTATAGGAAACTTGAATACAAACAAAATGATGATCCAACTATACTTAGAGTTTCTATGGCCACCTTCTTTGGAGAAACTCAAACATTTTCACATCTTCTATACCATTTATCCTGTTACCATGGTTTTGTGTCTATATATCAATAATTTGTGGAGGGATTTATCTTCTCAAAGGCAGTGCTATGAAAATTTGTTAACAATCATGATAGCACAGCTGAACTGCTAACTAAATGGGGGTCTCTTATCTGTCAGTGCATCAGGACGTTTTAATGGAGTCAAAGAAAAGGTGGGATCTAAGGATCATAAACGAAGCAGCCATGAGGTTGCAAATCAGTAGCAATAAATGACTGCTAACATCTGAAACAATACAATGCTTCTGGTGCTAATGCAGCAACTACATAAATGCGGAGGAAACTATTGGAGAAGTCAAAAGCCATCTAATTCAATCTGAACTTTTAGTGACACTACCCACAGGTATGAAGTCATTTCAAGAGTTCAAAGTTTAACCTTATGTCTAAAATTCAAGGATAAAGTCAAAACAGAGAACATGTTTCCCTTTATCTTCATGTCAAAATAAGAAACCACCCTCTACCTGCCAAGTCAAGTGAGGATTATTTAGATAATGATTTATATTTAAAAAATAGTACTCATTCTTTGTGTTAAGGCTGTAAAATAAAGTTTAGGTTATATTATACATTAATGAGTTAAAGTTAGAGACTTCTGAGAGATTCTGAAATCCTTTACTTTGGTATTTTATTTTGTCACCTTTCTTCCCTTTTTAATATGTTCCCATTGATCTTACCTTTTTCATTTTTTTACATCAGCTGTCAGGCATCACCCTGGGCTGGCCATCAGGATTCCAAAATTCTTGCAGGAAGTGTGTTCCTTTGAATCTAATCCCTTGGATACTAAAACCTCAGTTACTTTACTGCCCTCCATTCTTGCAATTGCCATCTTTGTGAAAGGCTTCTTAGAATACCAACGAGCAATTTCTGTACTAATGAAAAATATCTCCAATTATTTGCAGGTTGTTCCCTCCTGACAACCATTGAGGTGTGTGTTAATGCACTGAAAATGTTTTGCCAGCAATGTTACCATCTTGGTTGTGATGTGACAAACTGGTTAGACCATGCCAGGGGAAAAAATGGTGGCTGCCACCGTGAGCTCCATGTGGAAGACACAACATTTTTCTTCTCCCTTCTCCCTCTCTTCATGTTTCAGCTCCTGTACAGAATGTGCATTGTCCAGGTAAGGAAGGACAGTAGATGCCATCCAACAAAAATGAAGTGATTGCATGTTAACATTACAAGTGAGTATGTAATGAGCCTGTGTTTGCACTCCAACAAAAGCTTTTCATACACTTTGTTAAGCAGTTATTCCACACAAGTTTCTACTCCCTGTAGGCCCTGATATCAAGAGCTAAGCAGGATCAGACAGAGGCACACCTGAGGAGACCCTGGGCATGTGTTTCTTTTGTAGAACAGTAAATGTCTGTCAGTAGGTACAGATACTATTTCAGAGTGCTTATTCACGAGGCACAAGAGCACTGCACAAAAATATCGTATCTATAGGCAATTATCAAACCTCCCTGTAGCCAAAGGTTTTGCCTTCCTCCCTCATTAGACCTTTGGAAAGTGGTACTAGCAAGTAGCTAACTCGGCTGATTGGAGTACCACCTCCACTGTACCCGTAAGTATGAGTACTAATGAGCAAGTGATTCTCTCCCCACCCACTCTATTAGTTCCTTAGGAAATCAGTTCCTATGCACTGAGGAAATCAGAGGGAAAATAGAAAGCCCCAAATTTTCCTACAGACATATGTAATTTTAGAAAAAATGTAAGTGGCTATGGCCATAGGCCAACTTATTTATAGAGAAAAATAAATGATCATTAAAGTCTTGGAACAAATGTGAGACTTTCATTAGTGTTAACACCAAACTTGGAGTTTAGAAGGGTAATGAATGAATTGAATTCAGAAATTATAGAGCAATAGAGCAGTCAGGAGACTTGGAAAGTAACTTACTCAACTACTTCATTTGTTGGAAGAGAAAACTTAGAATCAGAAAAAATACATACTTTTTTTTTTCAGGAGGTGGGTGGCAGGTCACAGGCAAGTGTAGTGAAATAAGTAGGATTTGCCCTCTGACTCTCAATACAGTACCTGTCCCTCTAACCAGGGGTCGGCAATACACAGCTTACAGACGTAATCCAGTCCACTGCCTATTTTTGTACATCCTGCAAGCTAAGAAGGTCCTTAACATTTTTATGGTGGTTGAAAAAATAAAAAAGAAGGATATCTTATGGCACATGAAAATTATATGAAATTTTAATTTCAGTGTTCATTGGAACGTAGTCAGGCTCATTGGTTTCTCAGACCCATGTCTGCTTAGGCACAAAAACAGGAGAGCTGAGAAGCAGCCACAGAATCCACATGTGGACTTTTTTAGATAGAGGTTTGCCTACCTCTTACTTCTGACTCTGCAGTAGAAGCAAGCAGAGGGACAGAATGTAGCAGAAATGTTATCCAGATACATGAGTATTGGTATCAAACACACGTTACCATGGTGAAATTAATTGAGTACTAATTACTGGGTGGTCAATAACTAACTTCAAAACTTTCTGTGCAAATAACACAAATTACTGGCCCAGCCTCAGAGGCACAGGTGGAGGAGTTCTGCTATGCCATGCTGGAGCCATGTGAGAAGTCCCTGGGTTTGGTTTCTCATCAACTTCAGCATGCCAGGCAAGCCTATGATCCTGGCTGGCTAAAAGATTATGGGAAGGATCAGGGCATGCCAACACCCTGTTAGAGCTCTCTCAATAATTAATCGATTGATTAATTAACTTTTTAAAAATTAGCAAAGAGGCCAGCAGGTGGCATGGTGGTTAAGGCGCTTGACTCCCAAGTGGCTGACTTGGCTTGATTTCTTACTCTCTCTCTCTCTCTCTCTGGTGAGTGCATGTGCCCTATAGCAAATTTAAAAATGATAATAAATACAATTAAATAAATTATTATTTTAAAAAGGAAATAGCACAAAATATAGATTCCTTATCTTCATGTAGTGATCCTTATATTTCTTTCCATGAAGTCTGAGCTTTTCATAGAAACTGTTTATTGTTCAATTTGACATAAATCACAAAAAATATTGATAAACTAATTTTAAGCATCACACCAAATCTAAATGCCCAGTTTGTTGTAGAGAACAAAAACTAGGGGCCAGCAGATGGTATATAGGTTACATCACTGGACTCCCACATGGCTGACCACAGTTCGAGTCCCAGACCCAGTGACTTACAACTCATGCTGGGATGTGTGCATACATGCCCAAGATCCCAGGAGGAGAAAGGAGAAAGGATTGTGGCATGGCCATCCCCCCCAGGGGGTGATTGCTCATTTTTCCTCTCTCTGTCTCTGTTTCTCTCTCTAGAGAGAGCACATACAACCTAAGGCAAAAACCTCTAAAAAGAAAAAGAACAAAAACTAATACTTATTAATCATTTAGTATGTGTCACAGCTTCTAAAAGATGGCTTCATGGTATTGAATTTGGTTCCCATAGCCAACCTTCATAGTTGATGCTACCATCCTCAACCTGAGGCACAGAGACATTAAGTAACATGCAACTTACTGGTAACTACTCTGCTAATACATGGAACAGCAGTTATCCTAGCTCAGGGCTGGAATCAAGATCCATGCTTTGCTGTTACTCACAATCCTCTCTCTCGCTGGCTTAAATATCCCTGATACAAATTATTCAACTTCCGGGAACCAGCAGTTAGCGTAATGGCTATGTCGCTGGGCTCCCACGTAGTCGACCGTGGTTCACATCCCGGACCCGGTGGCTTAAAACTCACTCTGGGCGCATGTGCGTGGGTGACCAAGATCCCGAGAGGAGAATGGAGGAGAAGGGATTGTGGCGTGACCACCTCCCCTGGGGGGTGATTTCTCGCTTTCTGTCTCTCTGTCTCTCTCTCTGTCTGTCTGGCGAGCACAAGCACCCTATAGCGAAAATCTCTCCAAAAAAAATAAATTATTCAACTTTCAAAATTATATAGGGTAACCTTATACTAGAAGCTTCAAAGACAATGGTTAGATCATACCTCTCCAGGGAGTCAGAGGAAACTTCTACTGGGATAGGCTGAGATTAGATTTTTGTGCCCAGATGAAATAATCACCAGTATAGAGGCAATCAAAGCACCACGAATAAAACATCATAAAATTCCATATTTTAAATTTAGTGGCCATTATTGACCTTCAGTTCCAAGACATACACTTAAAATATGTTGATATTAAGGCCAATGAGGTTGCCATTTGACATTACTGGCCACTCAAAGGTGAAAATGAATCTCTATTGACGGCAATTATTTCTGAATACTCAGAGGCTTGTGGGAAATAAAAGTATTTAAAATTTTAAAAGGGGACTCCTCAGAGGCTTGTATGAAATAAAAGTATTTAAAATTTTAAAAGGGGATGATTTCAGAACTTGAGGCAGAAACAGAAATGATTTCAAGCTTTCAAGACACTGGAGCCTTTTCTTAGATTAGGCAATATATTAATATTGCTTCACTAAAGATTAATAGTACATTTGCCACATTATTAAGTTAACAGGTTTCTGTGTCTGTGATTCATGCCGATAATAACTTTATTCCTATTAACAATAATTCTCATTTGAAATCAGTAACAGAAACTTCCAAGTTGTGCTGGGAGCCTTTCTGTCTTAGAGTTGTTCCGCTGCCAGCCCTCTTTTAAAGCACATTCTTCATTTCCCTCTGGTTAGGGGAGACGGACTTAATAATTTTATTGAAGTAGGGCAGAACGAGTTGATGTGCCCTTTACTCTTGCCATCTGTACGCAACCAGGACAATTCTTGTTTACCATGCTAAGGATCAAATTAAAGATTGGAAGGTAAATGATCATTGAGACACGTCTTAGAGAGAGAGAAAGCAATTTGGGGAAAATGTGGTTCCTTCCTGGGTTTAGGAGGTTAACTCAGCCATAGACTCCGTTCACAGCTGGTGGACTCGTGAACTGCTGTCCTGACTCTGTGCCTCTGGTTCTCCTTATACCCTCTCGAATTATGTAATTGATTATATGAAGGAGTTAGTGAAGGTGTCAAGTGAGAAGTTATGGCCTGGATGTTTGAGCAGGGCTGCTCTCCCAGAATGGTGGCAAGGCAGGAATCCTCAGGCAGCTCTTGCACTGTAAAAAAAATAAAATAGGAGAATCCATTTCTCAAGAATGCTTGGTTGACTTTTTCTCTCCATGCCACTCAAAAGCTATGCGTGCCCCTAGGAATGAATGAAATACGATGTACTACTGATAATGACGAAGATGTGATGATTTCAATGAAACTCATGAGCTAGAAAAATAAGGAGAGGCCTTTTTACCCTGCCTTAGTTCTGACACTGTAACCTCCTAAGAGATATGAAGAGACTCTGATTTAACATTAGGGTTTTAGAGACCAACGGTTGGCATAATAGCTATGTTGCTATACTCTTGTGTAGTCGGCCGCAGCTTGAGTCCCAGACTTGGTGGCTTAAACTCACGCTGGGCATGTGTGCATGCATGCCCAAGATCCTATAAAGAGAATAGAGGAGAAGGGATTGTGGAGTGGCCATTCCGGGGTGGGGGGGGTGTGTGTAGGAGGCTGATTTCTCGCTTTTTGTCTCTCTTTCTGGTAGTGCATGTACCTTATAGCAAAAACCTCTCAAAAAAAAAGTTAGGGTTTTAGTTAGCATTGGGGTTATTTTATAAAAGAAGAGATTTTAACAATACATTGACAGTTTGGGGCAGGACAGAGGCTTTTGTTGTTGTTTTTGTTTTTATCTACCATTATTATTATTTTTTAGAATTATTCATTTAATTTTTATTTATCATTATTTTGTTTTGTTGTGTTTTAGGTTTTTGCCATAGGACATGTGCACTCACCAGAGAGAGAGAGAGAGACAGAGAAAGGGAACATGAGAAATCATGGTCCAGGGGGTATGTCCACACTGCAATCCCTTTTCCTTCATTTTCTTCTTGGGATTTTGGGCACACGTGCACACATGCCTGGCATGATTTTCAAGCCACCAGGTCCAGGACTCGAACCACAGTCAGCCATGTGAGAGTCCAACACCCATTATTGTTATTTTTAATTTGACCAGATAGACAGAGAAAGAAAGAGAAAGTGAGAAAGCAAGCCACCATGTCTAGGACTCGAAACTGCAGTAAGCCATGTGAGAGTCCAGTACCTTAACCACCACACCACCTACAGCCCACCTCCCACTGGCATTCTTTTTAATATTCAGGCAAGACATATAGCATAGGTCCTACCACCGTCCTTTTGTGGTCGCCAGTATCACACAATAAGTTTCAAAGAGGGACACAGACACAGGTTTTCTCTCCTTTTTCCCTCACATCACTTGGCTCCCATTAGAAACAGGGCGAATCCTGTGATCCCACCAAGATAGCCTTCAACACATAATATGGGTCCACACTGGCCCTTCTTCTTAGGAAAAAACACTTCCTATTTTCCTACTAAACTAAATGTTATTTAAAGAATATATTCTAACCTCTGTTTTCCCCCCATCAGTGTGACACAGACATTCTTAATACTTTCAACTGGTTTTTGCTTTACTATGCGGGGGTGGAGGGAGAATTTTGCTTAAGATACTCTAAATGACAGTGTCCTCCATTTAAAAATCAATAGTATTGTCAGTAGACTAAATAAGGCTCTTACAGCCTCAGATGAAGACCTTTTATTAGCTCCTAACTGGGACCTGGCAAGACTGGAAAGGAGCTGGTGGTACAGTGCCAATGCAACTAGATTCACATGGGAAGGTCCTGGGTTCATGTCCAGACCTGGGCCTGGGTGCATGTGCCCATCATGTGCCCATGATACAGATGGAGACTGTGGGTGAATCACAGCATGAAGTCCCTGTTTCAGATTTTCTCTCTTTTGTATTTCTCTCTGAAATCATTAAACTTAAAAAAAAAAAAAAAAAGAAAGAAAGCTGGAGAGGATCCAACTCACCTATTGCAGAGTTCACAGAGTATATGCAATGCAGAAAACATCTGGAGGAGGGTGTTTTCTATTAACTCATCGGCTGCTTCTTCCCTCAAGTACAGATTTCATCAGGATATTATCTGCAAACCATGAATTCCAACCTGAACTTGGATGGATTTCTTCTGCCTATTGCAGCAATGAGTGCCATCAGTATTCTACCAATATTAATTCTGACCCCTTTTATGGAGTATTTCAGCACCCGCCTATTTTCCTCTAAGAGCGGTGGACCATTTCTGTCATCATGCATTAGTAAGTGCAACTTACCATTTCAAGTGAGCAGTTTGCAATGTAAATAAATAAGTAAATGAATAAATAACCACTTTGCTAAAATTTAAAGTAGCTATATGCTCCTGAGTAGGTCAGGTTTTGACAAATTGCAAAGAAGGTGAATTTGTGAGTGATCTATCCAGCTTCCCTAATCTCTTCCCATACATAAGTACTTCATGACCTTCCACCCTTTCAAGCCTCCTCAAAAGACACATCTGATATAAAGATATGGCAAAATTTCAGGGCTAGCAGGTGGCATATTGGTAAGGTGTTGAACTCCCACATGGTCAACCATGGTTTAAGTCCCAGACCTGGCCAGCTTGAAACTCCCGCCAGGTACATGTGCGTGTGTGCCCAAAATCCTGAGAGGAGAATGGAGGAGAGGGGATTGTGGCATGGCCATTTCTCCTAAGGGGTTATTTCTCAGTTTCTCTCTCTGTCTCTCTGGCAAGCACATGCACTCTATAACAAAGATCTCTCTAAAAAAAAGATATGACAAAATTTCCAACACTGCCAATGACCTATCCTTCTGCAAGTAGGGCAGGCCTTACTCTTAAGTCAATGTCAAATATGCTTTTAAAATGAATCCAGAGCCATCCTGTGGCATGGTGGTTAAGGTAGCTGGATTCCACGTGGCCAACTGAGCAGTACAAGTCCCATAGCTGGTGACTTAAGAAACATGCTGGGCACATATGTGTGTGCCCAAAATCCAGAAAGGAGAGAGCAATGAAGGAGAAGGGGTTGCAGTGTAACCATTCTGCATAGGGGGTGCTTTCTTACTTTTTCTCTCTCTCTGTTTCTCTCTAATGAATATATATGCCCTCTGGCATATTTTTTTTTAAAAAAAATTGAGCACAGGTAATGAACCTTCCCTCACAAATTTTAATTTCTAAACCAATAGTAATTTTTTTAAAAAAAAAAATTGATATTGGGGGGAACCAGCAGTTAGCATAATGGCTATGTCGCTGGACTCCCACATAGTCGACCGCGGTTCGCCCCAGACCTGGTGGCTTAAAACTCACACCGGGCGCGTGTGCATGCATGCCCAAGATCCCGAGAGGAGAATGGAGGAGAAGGGATTGCGGCGTGACCATCCCCTCTGGGGGGTGAGGGGTGATTTCTCGCTTTCTGTCTCTATGTCTCTCTCTGTCTGTCTGGCAAGCGCACGCGCCCTATCACCAAAAAAAAAAAAACTCTCAAAAAAAAATTGGTATTGGGATTCACAGCTTCAATACAAAACTTCTTCAAATATGTATAGCAATAATTTTGAAATATTTGTACTAGTAAAACTACTAACCTATCTTACTCGAAACATAATTATCTGTCGAAGATAACTTGTATGATAATATCTTTAACTGTACTAATATACAGTGTATTTATACTGGGAAAATTCATTTTGCAAGCTGTAATGATATACAGTGATTAAATGTATAAAATAATAAGAAAAAAAGCACAATCAATAAACCACAAAATAAAATTTGACTGATGAAAATAGAAGAGAAGAAACAAGCCGATCCTGATCCTGCTCTCCTCTGTCTAATTGTGTGTCAGCAGGCTCCATCAGGAAGAGGACAATAAAACCAGTCCCAATCTAAAAAAAATCACAGTTCTGAGTCTTATCCCCTGTTCTGCCACTGACCTGCTATTGGTTAGCTTTGAGAAGGCCGCTTAACCTTTCCTGTCTCTAATTTGTGTGCATGTGTGTGTGTGTGTTCCCCCCCCTAAGGGGCATACCCTAGATAAATCTTGGGTCCCTTTATTCTGGTAGACTTTTGAAATCACCCTGGATGACATCAGTGCCTGAACAAAGTCCTGACAGAGTGAAAGCTCCATAAATGATAGCTATTATTATGAGTCATCACTTGCAGAGGACACATCTATTGTTTGGTGTGCATAAACAGGAAACAAAGGGAGTTTGAAACTCTTAGGAAATATCATCCACAGGTAACCCAGAGTCATATTCTCTCCTTGAGCAATAGTTCGGTTGAAATAGTCAAGCTCAGGCATATAGAGGATTAATTTCTCTTGGTCTTTACATTTTATTATTTATTCCTAGAGATAAAGAGGAAAGAGAGAGAGAGAGACAAAGAGAGAGAAAGAAAGAGAGAGGCACCCCCCACCACCACCACCAACAGGCACTTCATGCTGCGACCATTCTTAGCCTAGCCAGACAGAATCATGGGCACAAGTGAGCACCCAGTGTGCACAGGGAGACCTTGGAAGATGAACCCAGGACCTTCTTGTGTGGATTCATCTTAGCAGAGCACTGAGTTATTGCTATGCTACCAAAATTGGACTAAACTGTTCTTAATCTCTCCTTCTAAAGATCTGTGGTGGCTGGACAGTCTTCTAATCACACACAATGTTTTGTTGTTTTTCTTTTTATAAAAGTTACATTTTAGTATATGTACTTTCTGTTGTTTAGCACCATGACCCATCAAAAAGAACACTCCAGAAGCCTTCTCGTGCATTCCTTCAGCTAGTCCACTATTGAGGCAGAATGAATGCAAGACAAAATGGAAGTAAACTTACATTGTAGAACAGCAAAGATCCTGGCAGCCTTGTACAGCAGCATAAAATATTCTAACTTGAACTTCCAAGTTATGCTTCATTACACAAAATGTAAAATACAGGTTACTTTAGGAAAATCTACTGTACAACATGGCTACGGCTAATTGAACATTAGAAATCCTTCTTGAAATTGATAAATCTTAAGTCCACTTTAAATTTGACCAACTTCCTCTTGGATAATTCTCGTGCGTATTTGAAATCATCTCTATTTTTTAAAGAAGGCTTTTTTTTTTTTCTGGAGAGAAGAAAGTTAGAATAAGTTGTTTGATGTTGTTAATGAATTAAATATTGGCCTTCAAGATTGGTGTAACACTTGTTGTACAGGAAAAGAGAGAAACTAAACACTCTTCAAAAGAAATTAATGTTCTACTGGGTGCAGAATAGTGAATTCAGTTGTTTCAGAACCAAACTCCATTCATTCATCTATTTGCATACTCGTTCATTTATTTGCATAATATTTTGCTATGGGAAGAGAAAAATGTGATGATATGCATGTTTTAAACTATACATTTACTTAAGTTTTCCATATTCTGGTTATGATTATGAAGATTAACAAGTTTTACCAAGAGATAAAAGTACCAACCTAGGGTACTTTTTGATACTAATTTACATAATTGAATTAGTTTAATATTAAAATTTCCTTTCACTTTGATCTAAAGTGACTGGAAATGTGGGTAAAGTATATAAGTATATGAATTATGAATGAACAGATATTTATAAGTTCCGAATTTGAATTTAGCTACCTTTATATACATATTACATTTAAACTCATGATAAACAGTCATTTAATAGATCAAAGGTCACATTTGAATTCTGATCTTCTGATTCTAAGGCTATTACATTATTATTATTATTATTTCACCTTCCAGCTATATATAACTTTAAGATTACAGAAGTTAAATTATCAGTGTTAACTTGGAATCCTTACCACTACTTCAAATACACAGTGTGAGGTAAATGAAAAACCCCTTGTCACCACAGGGGTGGCAGTTAGTCCTTAGACTCTCACTACCTGCCACATTCACTTATCTCCTTTCCAGGGCCTGAACTGTTTAAGGAGGCAGATGGTAAAGAAGATACCAATGTCTAAAGTTTGCCCAGACCAAGAGTGAGAGATGGGGACATCTCAGCCAGTTGGTCCAACTAGAAATGTAATGAAGAAAAAATTAACTAATTTTTGTTAATATGCTCAAAAACAATGCAATGGAACAGGAGTTTCTGATTCAAGTTATGACATCCCTAAGTTCATCATCTAATAAAATTAAGAAGTAGGTCTGAGCACCAACTATTTAAAAAATCTCTATGCCCAACCAGATGGCCTAGAGGTTATACAATGCTTCAGGATGCTAAAGCCACATGGGAAGGTACTAGGTTTGTGCCCTGAGGTCTCCCTTTACACATCAGGGACACAGACATGCCTATAATCCTGATGGTTGAGGCCGAGGGTGGGGTTCAGCATGAAGAACTCTGAGAGGTATTTATCTTTCTCTCATTCCCTCTCTATCTAGAACTCTCTTCCATGGAAAAAATACATGAATTTTTTACAAAAATCTAAACCTTCCAGGACTATGAAAAGCAAAGGCTTGGTCTGCTCAAATTGTTTTATTAAGACTATATTTTCCTAATATTATACTGGAGTGGATTTATCTATTTAAAAGTCAACCTTAATTCACCAAAAATGTAGAATTTGTGATTTTATTGTGATTTATCCTTTATCATAATTGAGTATGCTCCATTTTAGCCTTTTTCAGTTCAAAAATGTTTATACCATAAGTATTTCCTTTCCTTAGCTTTAATTAAAGTCCTGCAGTATGTGGCATTTGGTAGTTAGTGCTGACACACACAAGTATTAATCTGACTAAAATTAGCCTAATTAAGATTGTTATTAAGTCTTACACAAAGCAGAAATGTACAACACAGTAGGTAGCAATTATCTTGGCTTTTAAATAACATTTAAATTGAAATGCAGATGAAGTATATCCAAATATCTACCAGACTTTCCTCTTTAAAATAAAAACCTGAAAATTCAGATTTTAAGTCTCTTATGATACAGATACAGCCAAGGTGTTGATCCCCTTAGACATGATCAATCATTTCTACTGGTTTTAACAATTAGCAGTGACATAAAGTTCCTCTATTGTTGGAAAGAAAGTGGCTGATAAACTAAACACTGAGTCAGGATCTAGTTAGTGCCATTCAAAGTAGGATTACCTGAGGCAAAATTAATTTTTCTACATAGTTTTCATACTAATACATTTTCCCAAGATACATCACAGTCTATACCCATTGTGAAATACTTGATCATAGGAACTGTGTAAATACCAAAAGAAATAACCTATAAGTCTCTAGTCTGAATGAGTCACTCATTCAATTGTTCATTTGTTTAATAAAAGCACATTAATGTTAACAGT